TGATGCTGCTTGGCCTGCTGTGTTCATCCAGCTCTACACCTTGTTATCTCAGAATTAAAAGCCAGTTAGCCTGGCAACAGTCATTGGGGAAAATGCTGGAATCTATTGTTGTGGAAGTCCTAACAGTGCATTTTAAAAATCATAATATCATTGTTTCATGAAAGAAAAATTGTGTTTGAGAGTTGTTGAGGGTGTGACTACTGAGTCAATAAAAGGAAACCAGTTCATATGCTAGTTATTCGGATATTTTATGACAACGCCTCCAGAGTAGGTGGGACTTCAACCTGAACCTGCTGGCTCATAGACAAGGACACTATTACTGTGCTACAAGACCCCTCACAGTTACTCTTGTATATTGGGTTTTAAAAAGGCACTCAATAACGTGTTACAGGTTAATTTGCAAGCTAGGAGTTCAAGAAGTTGAGGGTATATGGAGGATTGGTTAATATGCAAAGGAGTAAACTGCAGTTTTCAAGTTGGCAGGCAGTGAACAGGGGAATGCTGCAAGTTTCAGTGCTGGGGCCTCAGCTAATGTCTTAGTACAAAGCTAGGTGCCAATGTAAGCTGTGAGAAAGGCAGGCAAAGAGACAGCAAATTATCACCAACAGTGGAAAAATACAAAAGTGCATTGAACCAAACTAATGCTTGCCTGTCAACCATTAATCCAATCCCCCTGCTAACCACACCCCTCCTTACCTCTCTAAACTCCTCCAGTCCCTACATCCCTTCCTATCTCTGTCAACCTCCTCTGGCCCCCTACGGTCCTCCCTATCTCTCACTTCTTCCACCTCCTATACCCCCCCATCTCTGTCAGCTCCTCCAGCCCCTGCACCCCATCCCTATCTCTGTCACCTCCTATAATCCTCTGAGATCTCTGCGCTCCTTCAGTCCCAGCCTCTTGAACATTTCCTGATTCCCATGGCTCCACTGTTGGGGGCTCTGGAACACCCTCCCTAAACCTCTCAGTACCAGAGAAATTGGTGGATGCAGGTACAGATACAACATTTAAAAGACATTTGGACAGGTACATGGATAGCAAACGTTTAGTGGGATATGGGCCAAATGCAGGCAATGGGACTAGATTAGTTTGGGAAACTTGATTAGCATGGATGAGTTGGGCTGAAGAGCCTGTTTCTGTGCTATCTGACTCAGACTCCTAATTACCTGGAGAGCAGCTGAGAATCAGTGACGTCTCTTTTGAATGGTTTGTCTGTTCCACATTTAGCTCGTGCTCCAAGTCTGATATTCTTGGGTTGCTTGACTGACTGTACCAATGCTTACATCTGCCCTGTTACACTGTTCCCTTCAGTGTCACTCTCTCTAAAGCTTTGGCATCTCCAGCTTTTCCCTGTCAGGCTGTCATCACTGTGCTGCTATTTCTTTCTGTGTTATCTATTGCCTTTTTTCTTACCACTTGGCCTCTGGCATCGTTTGCCTTCATGTTCACTCTGTTCTGACTACTCTGCTGCTGTTTCACAATATTTCATCTTGAGCGCTCTCACTCATTGCCATATGTTTTCAGTGTTCCACAAGTTGGAAATCATTTCAAACTTATGCTTATCTAATAATTTGTTCAGGACTGAAGGTAAGTGTGGGGTAGTATGATGTTGCTTGAACCGTAATGAGGGGAAAATATGGGTAAAAGCCTTCAATCTCATTGTATGCTGGAGTGTGTGGGTGAGGGTGTATTTTACCTGTTGTCTTCTCATTGTGTTCTAGTCTTGTTAATACATACTGGACGGGCTGTTAAACAGGGATTCACACTTCTATTAGTTTGGGTGGCACTGTGGCACAGTGGTTAGCACTGCTACTTCTCAGTGTCACGGACCTGGGTTTGATTCCATCCTCGGGTGACTGCCTGAGTGGAGTTTGCACGTTCTCCCCATGTCTGCATGGTTTTCCTCCTGGTGCTCCGATTTCTTTTCACAGTCCAAATATGTGCAGGATAGGTGGATTGGCCAAGCTAAAATATCCGTATGTGCAGGCAAGGTAGATTACCCTTGGTAAATGTGGAGTTACGGGGACAAGCTCGGTGGTGGGTCTGGATGTGATGCTCTTTGGAGTGTTGGTGCAGACTGGACGGGCGAAATGGCCTCTTATCACACTTTAGGGATGCTGTGATTATAAATGTTAACTGATGAATGAGGATTATTATTGCTGTATTCAGACTTTTTAAACGTTTTTTCAACAGAAATATGATCAAGTTGCATCTTAATGTGAAATAGTAGTTGAAGAGGGAAGCCAGCTCTATCTGTACAGTTATCCATCCAGTACTGTTGGTTGAACATGAAGGCTTGCCCCTTCCCCTGTACAAGGGCAAAGGGGATGCATCTAATTGGCGAGTATGTGCTGGAAAATAAAGTAGAACATTTCTAATGCATGTAAGATCTAGCTTTTGGAGCTCATGATATAAGACCATAAGATAAAGGAGAAAAATTAGACCATTTGGCCCATCGTGTTTGCTCCATAATTCAAACATGGCTGATATGTTTCTCAGCATCATTCTCCTGCTTTCTTCCTGTAATCCCTGATCCCCTTGCTAATCAAAAACCTATATATCTCTGTTTTACAGGCACTAATGATTTGGCCTCTGCAGCCTTCTCTGACAGTGAGTTCTGCAGATTCACCACACTCTGGCTGAAGAAATTCTCCTCATCTCAGTTCCAAAGGGGTGTCAAAAGGTATCTTAGTTGACATTACCAAGGGAGTTCAATATCTGGTTGAAGGACTGTGTTTTCAGGTTTCCAGTGGCGTTCAAAGAAGTAAGTTCTGACAGTACAAGGCAAGAGATCAAAATGGGGTATTGGATGGGATAAAATTCTGACCATGCAGTCATGTATACTTGTGTGTCTTCTTTATTATAGAGTATGCTTTGAAATGGCTGCAGATAGTAAACATGTAGCTCATGGGCCTCTGTGCTCTGACTTGTGAACATGGAGGATAATAATATGCTACATACAAAATATTATATTTTCCAAATAATTTTGCTAAATCTGGATATAGACTGTCAGCCTTCATAGTAAAATTCTTCATTAGGATGGAAAGTAAAATTGTCCAATATGAAACAAGGATCCTAAGTCTAACAGGGGAAACTGCCTAGGTATGAGTGGTGAGTTGGCTATGATAGATTAGTTAACTGCATTAAAAGACATGATGGTGGATAGGCAATGGCTAATATTTAAGGAGTGCAAGCATTGCAATAGGCATACATTCCTTTTTGGTGCTCAATCACAATGGAAAGGTGGTCCAACCATGTCTAAACAAAATATATTAAGGATGGTGTTAGATCCAAAGGGGAACCCTATAAAGTTGCTGGAAAGATGAGCAAGTCTGAGAATCAGGAGCAGATTGGGCATTCAGAATTCAGCACATGAAGACCAAGAGATTAAGAGGGGGAAAATAGAGTATGAGAGGTAACTTGCAAACAACATAAAAGTGGAGGGAGGTATAGTGAAGTTTGACTCGACTAATTGCTGAGGTGGCAAGGAGAAATTGGATCAATTTGGCCTTTATTCACCAGAATTTAGAAGAATGAAAGGGTTTGAAAGAGGTTAGTGAATGAAAGAATTTAGAAGAATTATTTAAACATTTAAAATTCTGCCAAGATTAGGGGCACAGGATGCAGGGATGATGTTTCCCTTGTCTGTGGGTTCTTGAACAAAGGGTCATGGTCTCAGAATACAGGGTAGATCATTTAGGACTGAGATGAGAGATTGTTTCACCTGGGGTGGTGAACATGTGGAATAGATTTCTAAACTCTGAAGGCATTGGTGGATATGGAAGAGAGCAGGAATATTGCCAATAAAGGATCAGTCATGGATATATGTGAATTTGAATATCATTGGCTACCAAATGGCCTACTGTTTCTGTTTTGTTATGTTTCTTTGATTTTGTTCTAGCATCAGAGAAGAGACAAGAATCTTGTTCCAAGATATGTGGGGGAGACGGTGGCATAATGCCACTGGATTAGTGAGCCAGAAGCCCAAGCAAATTCCCTGGTGACATGGGTTCAAATCCCACATTGTAACTGGTTGAATCGGTTTAAAATCGGTTCATAAAAGTACTGAAATATGAAGCTAAAGTAAATCTCAGTAATGGTGACTACTGTCGATCATTGTAAAATTCCACCTGGTCCAATAATGTCCTTTAGGGAAGAAAATCATCCATCCTTACCTGTGCTAGCCTACATGTGACACCAGATCCATAGCAATGTGGTTGATTCTTAACTCGCTTCTGAAATCCTTTCAAGAGTGAACTTGCATGTGTAGCCCTTGTCCTTCTGTGAGGTAACGGTCACGGGTTAGAAGATGTAGATCAGAAGGAGCCTTGGTGAGTTGCCACATGTTGTCTATGGTACACACTGCCACTGTGTGTCAGTACAGAGGAAGTGAATGTTGAAGGTGTCAGAGGGGGTGTTAAGCAGACTGCTTTATCCTGGATGGTGTTTGAGTTTCTTGGGTGTTGTTGGAGCTGTACTTAATCTGGCTAAGTCAAGAGTATTCTATCACACTCTGATGTGTATTTTGTAGATGGGGAACAGGAGATAGGTTACTTGCCACAAAATTCCCAGCCTGTGTGTGACCTGCGATTATAGCTGCAATTTTTACATTGCTGATCAAATTCAGTTCAATTTCTGGTCAATGATAACCCCATGGATATTGTTTGTGGAGTTTTCATGATAATACTGTCATTGAATGCAAGGGGGTGCTAGATTTTCTTGCTGATGGTGGTGATCGACTGTCACTAGTGTGGCATGAATACTGCCTGCCACTTATTAGCCTGACTTGTCCACATCTTGCTATGTATGAATATGGATTGTTTCAGTATCTGAGGAGTTGTGAATGGTGCTGAACATTGTGCAATCATCTGTGAACATCCCCACTTCTGACTTTATGATGGTGGGAAGGTCATTGATGAAGCAGCTGAAGATGGCTGGGCCTAGGGCACGCCTGATGAGATGAAGTCCTGGAACTGACCTCCGACAACAACAGCTATTTTCATTTGTGCTAGGTAGAACTCCATCTGCTGGAGAATTTTCCCCAATTCCAGTTTTCCCATGGCTTCTTATTGCCATATGCAGTGAAATGCTGCTTTGAGGTCAACAACAGTTAACTCTTCTTGTGATTCTTGTTGTATTAGTTAAATATAAAGGTGTATGTTCAGTGCTGATGCAGCATATTATTTTCTAGGAAGGATTTTATAGCATTGCAATTGATTGTGAAATTTAACATTCAGCTGCATTTATACCCAAAGTATTGATTCTCTATTAAAGATCAAAATGATACAGTCTCAAGTTTTCATGGCCTTTACTGGTCAAAACAATGTCACTGTTACTATGGTTGATTTATAATATGGGGAAATTAAGCAATTAATGTCTTGAACCAGCAATGAGTCTATTATAAAGAGCTTGGAGCTTGAGACTAACCATCTTTTGGTGCTATCATTTCGTGTGATTGATATTCAAAATGGGAGCTAAGCCATGCAGAAGTGAAACCAGCAGACACTTCTACACAAGCGTTGTGAAAATCTGAAACCCTTTTCCTCTTTCCAGCACTGCCAAAAAGGCTGTGGATGCCAAATCAAGCTCACTTAGCGTGTTGCTCAATTGCAGTACAGCACAGGATTTTGAGCAAGGGTAAGTAAATAGAGGTACAGAGAAGTATGTAAAAACCATGTATTATATAGCTTTCACAAATACAGGACTGCCAAAAATGCTTCACGATTGATGAAATTCCTTAGTGCAGTTAGTGTTCTAATGTAGAAAATGCAGTAGCTAGTTTGCACGCAAAACTCCCACATACAACAATGTGATAATGACCATATAAACTGTTATGACAATGGATGGGACATAAATGGCCAGGGCACCTTTTTTTTTGCAATAGTGCCTTGGGATTTTTTTTTTTATCCACCTGAGATTACATATATGGCTTCAGTTTCACATCTCATCGGAGTTTAACCATAGCTGATAGAGTAGACATGATCTAATCAAATTTTAAAAAGCCCAAGTTTTACATTTATTCTCATGGGATTTGACCATTGCTGACCTGGCAAGCATTTATTGCCAATTCCTAGTTGCTTTTAAGAAGATGGTCAGTTATCTTCTTTGAACCACTGCAGTCCATTTTGTATAGGTAGACTCACAATGCCATGAGAAAGTTCTGTGATTTTGACCCAGTGACATTGAAGTAATGATATATTTCAAAGTCAACATGATGAGTGGCTTGGAGGGGAACTTGTAGGGACAAAAGCCCATAGATTTGTTGCTCCTCTCTTTCTAGATGAAAGTGGTTGTGGTTTGGAAAATTCTGTTTAAGGAGCCATGGTCAGTTTCTGCAGTGCATCTTGTAGATGGTACACACTGCTGCTACTGAGTATTGGTGGTGGATGTAGTGCCAGTCGAGTGGGCTGTTTTGTCCTGGATGATGTGAAGTTTCCTTGAGTGTTTTTGGAGCCACACTCATTCAGGTAAATGGGCTGCTTGAAAGCATTGTTGATGATGCCTTGATTGAGAGTAGACTGATGGGGCGGTGACTGGCTGGCTTGGTACATCCTGCTTTTTGTATACAACTCATACTTGAGCAGTTTTCCTTACTGTTTGGTAATTGTTAAATGGACTTTTTCTGTTTTTTCTTCCACCTGATGTTTGTACAAAGAAATCAAGACTGACACTTCAGTGCTGTACTGAGGGAGTACTGAACTGGTGGTGGTGCCATTTGTCAGATTAAACATTAAGCAGAGATCCAAACTGCCACCTTGTCTGAATATATAAAACAAAATCTATGGTGCTGTGTCAAAGATGGTTAGAAGAATTATCCCCAGTGTCCTATTTAATTTTTATTCCCTCTTGTCAACATCTTTAGGACAGGTGAGAAATTTTTTTACTGAGGGTTGAGACTTTGCAACTGTCTGCTTCTGAAGTTGAGTGGAGGTCATTGAATATTTTTAAGATGGAGGTAGATACATTTTGATATGATTGGCCATGGGTATGAAGATTATTAGGGGAATGTTATCTTATTGACTGGTGGAGTAAGCTACTTGTGTTCCTAATTTATATGTTTGTATGCTACCATTCATCAGTGAGGAGAAAATTGGGGAAGACAGGGAGATGGAAATATTTCTGCAAAAAAAAGCTTCAAAAAGTGCATTTTATGTTATGGAATGAGAGATGTGATTCTGCCAGTTTCAAACTGATTACAGTTTTATTTTTGTTATTTCTAACCACTTTTGCAGCTGACTTGAAGTCCAACACTATTGGACAGGCTTTTCTTCAGCGTCTCTGAGCATTGGCAGACCCTACCTGGAGACTCCATTGGAACGGCCTCAGTTCAGCCAGATCGTTACAGAGACCTACAAGTGCATGAAAGAGTCTTGGAAAACTCAACATGAAAAAATGATTTTACACTTTGTGTATTGTACATGGTTTGTCTATCTTAAAGTTCTGCTCTTGGTGTAGAATGCTAAGATAAAAAGGTAAACAATCAAAAGCAGAAAATTGAAACCTGTTAAAGTTGGCTGTTGTGTATTATTAATTTATGTTCTTAAAAAAATACACACAACTGTGGAAATTGGAAATCAGAAACCCTGAGTGTCAAAGAAACACAGCAGTTTTAGCAGCATCTGTTGAGAGAAAAAGAATTGATGTTTCAATGTTATAACAAAGTGTCACTGGACTTGACACTAATTTGATTTTCTCTCAACAGACCTATGTTTCTCTCTAAATCATGTTCTCCTTTGTTTGCATTGGTATTCTTATCATTCTCTTGTATGTCAGTAGTTACAAAATAAAGTTCCTTGAAAACTGGTCTTAAGCTTGAACACTGAAGATGGTCTGTAATACAGTGTGACTATGGCATTTATCCCTTTGAATGACATCCACAAATCAAAATTCCACCATGTCCCAGTTTTTCTTCATTTGTTCATATGGTGTGAGCATTGCTGTCTAGATGTTTTCCCTCCCTGACAGCATTTACTGTCTGTTCTAATTGTCCACATGTATATGACTGTGAACTGCCTTCTTGAGTTCTTGGGGTGGTCAGACACTCAATACTGTTAGGAAGGGAAATTCTTGGTGTAATCAACACGGAGTACTAATTAATCAGCTGAGTGTGCTTGACGGGAGGTGGCAATCAGGTAGTTTCCTTGCCCATGTTTAGATTGATGGGATGAGATTTCCTGTGGTCTAGTCATGCGGAGAGCTTCCAGGATAACTACACCTTAATCTCAGTTGACTCTGTCCTACCAATTGGACAGGATATGTTAGGGATAGTGATGATTGTGTCTGGGATATTGTCTGTAAAGATTCCATGACTATCATTGTGTCAGGCTGTTGCTTGACTGGTATGAGAGACAGCTGTCTGAATTTTAGCTCAAATGGTGTTGGGAAAGACTGTAGAGTCAAAAGGGCTGGATGTTCATTATTGATTCTGGGGCCCAGATTGATACCACAATCTGGTTTTTGACCTAACTCCATCCTGTCAACAAATGTGACAGTACAGTTGGTTTCCATTATCTGAATCATTAATTAAAAATGTCAACTGATGTTTTGTTAGTAATCCTCAAGCCATGTTGACACTTCATCCTGTACAAAACATTTTGTACCACTTTTCAAGTATCAATTATCTTTAATGTGGAGATGCCAGTATTGGACTGGGGTCGATAAGATCAGAAATCATAAGGTACGAGGTTTATTTGAAATCACAAGCTTTCAAAGCACTGCCCCTTCATCACCTGACAAAGGGACAGCACTCCAAAAGCTTGTGATTTCCAATAAACCTGTTGGACTATAACTTGGTGTCATGTGATTTCTGACAAATATCTTTAGAACTTAAAATTTGCATTATCTACGAGTTCTCTTTTTAACCAATGTCAAACTTCCTTCACTCACTGGCTCAAAATCTTGGCACTCCCTAACAGGACTCTGGGTGTCTGTACACCCAAATGACTGCAGAATTCAAGTCGACAGCTCTCCATCTTTCAGGCCAATTGGGGTGTGCAATAAATATTGACCAAGGTAACTATACCTACATCCTGTGCCTGTATTTAAAATAAACCTCTGGGAACTTTTCCAAGGATGTTACAGGGGCTAGGAGAGTTTAAGATATGGGTAAAAGCTGGGGCCATTTTCCCTAGAGGTTTATAAAATCATGAGGGGCATGGATAGGGTGATTGGCAGGGTCTTTTTCCCAGAATAGGGGAGTCCAAAACTAGAGGGCATAGGTTTAAGTGAGAGGGGAAAGTGGTGCATATATGGAATGAGCTGCCAGAGTTAGTAGCAGAAGTTGGCATAATTACAACATTTAAAAGGCATCTGGATGGGTGTCTTAAATAAGGGGTTTAAGGGATATTGGCCAAATGCTGGCAAATGGGACTAGATTGATTTAAGATATCTGGTCAGCTTGGACAAGTTGGTCTGTTTCTGTGCTGTATGACTTCATGACTCTAACTTCACAAAATCAGTTGACTACCAACATTTTCTGAAAATGTTAGTCTAACTGGGTGTAGTTCCCTGCATCGTTTCTGTTTCTGCTTATCTGATGGGACTTATTTATATTAGGATAATTAATAATTTTATTTAATCCTTCAAGAATGCTGCATTCCAAATCCTCATGTCAATACCCTACATTTTACCGTTCATAGGTGGGCATAAGATCAAGTGTCAAGACCTTAAGTTCTGGAACTTCTTCCTTTCCTCTGCTGTCTTTTTTTTTTAATAGCTCTGGCCAAATTTTTTTTTTGGCCCTCTATCACTTCCATGGACAAAGTGCTATTTTTGTTCAAATTTTTTGTTCTGAATATCTAGATGTTTAGATTAAAAATGCAACCTGTATAGAAGTCACAATCAGATGTCTTCTAGGATAGAAGCAAATATCAAAAGAATTTATCTTTGCTGGTCTTATGGAAGAAATCTGATAACTTAGGCGAAGAAGAAACCTGCACTTTAGGGACTCTCTCAATATAACCTTCTTCACATAAACAATTATGCACACAATTTCAAGCCATATTTTGTTGTCAACAAATTGAGAGTGCTAGTATATACCTTCAATCAATAAGAAAAACAGTAATCATAATCAAGTTAAATTATGAATATTCACATTCACTTATTTATACCACTGAAGTTGACAGTACTTATAATTTCCTGTTTTACAGCACAGAAGCAGACCCTTTGGTCCAACCAGTCCATGCTGACCTTAATCTCAAACTAAACTAGTCCCACCTGCCTATGCTTGGCCTACATCCCTCCAAACATTTATTCATGTACTTACCTAAATGTCTTTTAAACATTGTAACTCTACCAGTATCCATCACTTCCTCTGGAAGTTCATTCCACACAGGAACCATTGTGTGTAAAAAAAATCTTTTTTAAAATCTTACTTACCTTAAAAATATGCCCCCTAATCTTGAAATCCCCCACCTTAAGGAAAAGACACCTGCCATTCACCTTATCTAGATCCATGATTCTATAAAACCCTAAGTCACTCTTCAACCTTCTGCACTCCAGTGAATAAAGTCCCAGCCTCTCTTTATAACTCAAATCCTCTATTCACAGCAACATCTTGGTAAATCTCTTCTGAACCGTCTCCAACTTAATAATACCCTTCCTATAATGGGGCGACCAGAACTGGACACAGTACTCTAGAAGAAGCCTCACTATCTGTACCACCTCAACATAACATCCCAACTCCTATACTCAAAAGGTCTGAGCAATGAAGGCAAGCATGCTAAACACCTTAAACACCCTGTATGTGATGCAAACTTCAAAGAATTATTTACCTGAAGTCCTACAACACGACCCATGGCCCTACATTTAATTGTCTAAGTCCCCCCTTTCTTTGTTTTAACAAAATGCAATACCTCACATTTATCCAAAGTAAACTCCATCTGCTACTCTTCGGCCCATTGACCCAATTGATCAAAATCTCTGTGATCTCACACAGCCCTCTTCACTGTCCACTATACACCAATTTTGGTGTCATCTACAAACTTACTAACCATGCCTTGTATATTCTCATCTAAATCATTTATATAAATGACAAACAAAAATGGACAGTAAGGGAACAGTGGTTTAGCTTGTGTGAGGTGAAAGGAGCTGAAAGGGAGCAAAATATTTCCTGTGCAAATTTTATTTTTGGGTGTCAGTGGAATTATGACAATAAGCTTTGCAGTTACTGTTAATTCTTATTGAAAACAATGACTCCATAGAAATATCTAGTTATTAGCATTTGCCAATCAATATGTTCACAAGATCATGTCAATTCAATCAGCCAAGGTCAAGATCATTACTGTTGCCAGGTAATAAAGCTGAGATATCCAATTTTTGCTTGGTTTCACAATGCTTCTTAAAGTTGGTGGAGCCTTTTCCAGTTCACCAGCCTAATTAACATTGATGTACCACATTTTAGAAGGTTATGTTTATATTTTAATTATTTCTGATACAGGAGGAGATCTCTGTTCAACAGTTGGTCACAGGCCTCCCGTCCCAAAAAAACCCTCCACCATAAATGTCTCCTGCCATTAGGCCAATTTTGTATCCAGTTGGAAAGCCTTCCCTGAATCTCATGTGATTGAACTTTACTAATTAGTCTATCATGCAGCACCTTGTCATCTGGAATACCTCTTAATAATGAACTAGAATACTTATATCTAGACTTGGAGGAAGGAAAGTACAGAAAAAGTTGAAACCAGAAAAGGTGATGCCACTTCTTTTCTAGAATTTCAGTCATGGTCGTTGAAGTTAGGACGTGAATTATTGTTTGGCAGAATGAAGCACTCAACCACTTTATAAAAACCTGAAACAGCACTTCAAAAATACTCAAGGCTATCAAAATATTTAATTTCAGAACTTTTATTCAGAACTTCTCTTAAAAACTTATAATCATTGTTCATATCAACAAATTTTAAACCAGTGCCTTCATAACTGTTGAGATACAACTCAAAAATGCAAAGACCTGCTCCAACATCTTACTGCTCTTATTTTCGTTGTTCATTGTAATTGTAAGATGAGCTGATTCTGCCCTGAAGAGTTGTTTGAATTATCCTGCTTTTCTCAATACAACAATGTTCTTCTTCCAAAAATCTGATTTCCTGGAGATTCTTAGTAGTCTTTGAAGGAGACAGGTGCTTATAAACAGGATAGTGCGTTGCTAACAATGGATTCTTGGGTTAAAGAATGGCTGCATACCGGGAGGTGATCCGTCAGATGGAGTGTTTTCTGCCAATAACTAATGGGTCTGGGAACCTGTATGAACGCAAGGCTCTTGCACTTCTCGCAGAGGCACAGCCCTCTAACAAAAAACATAGTTACAGGCATTTTAAACAAAAAATGCTACTACAAATGTAACTTTTCTTGTAAAATGTTTTGATTTTTCTTCTGAAAATCCAAGTAACAAGGACTTAAATTAGTTAAACAATCAATCTAGAGCCAGTGTAGCCCTCAGCTGCTATGCAGATTTGTATGTACCCTTAGTAGCATGTTTTTATTTGCATATTTCTTGCATTGTGATTTAAATTTTTTTAGGAATACAAAATTGAACTGATGTAATGCATACGTGTCACAAAATTGCTATAATACAATGTAATGGAATGGATGCAATGTCGATGCTGTAATGAAGTTTTTTTGCAAATGGTCATGGGGGTAAAATGTTCATATTCCTTAGCATTTATCAGATAGTTTGATTAAGTCTGCCTTAACCCCTACAACCAGCTATATTAATTGGAAGCTGTGCCAATCAGCCTAGATAATTCAGAAACTGCATTATTCAACATCTGTTTGCAACCTAATGATTTGATGTTGCATCAAAATATAA